CAAGGCAATGCTACATACAGTTGAACTGCTCTTTTGTGTAGATCACAATGCTTCTTCCTCACTTTTAGAGTTTTTATCAATCCATGGCTGCACTCCAGGCACGTGAGCTATCCCGTCATGTCTCTCTGATCCCAGTGAGGTCATAGCTCTGTAAATGTTCAGGGATTTCCAGCTGCTTTTACATCCTGCATGCATACAAGTCCCTGGAGATGGATACTTGGTCATGCTGCTTTGAAAGGGAAAGTTTGAGTCTCCTCCACCATACTGTGCCCCAAGCACTTTCTAATTGCACTTCATGTTTTCATTTCTTTTCAGGGTCTGAGCCTCATTTCAAACAGCTGGTAATGGAGGGAGTAGGGACAAGGTAGAGAGAGATGAGACGCTAATATGCCTGCTGATGTAGCTGATCAGCTTCACAGGATCCGTGCAGTAAGCGGTACTCTTTGAAGAGTTACCGTAATTTCCTTGCTCCTGGCACCAGATGGCAGCAGGGGAGGATTTAATAGGTCTCTCGCAAGCCGGGTTCCTTCCTGGGTCTTTTGGAGGACCCAAATACCAAGTCTATCAGCAACACTTCTACTAAAAGTACCTTTAAGCAGAGGGTTTTCATGATCTGGAATCTGAGTTTGTTGCCTCATGAAAATTCAATACACTTTGGTGAAAAGAACAACAGGATAATGAGGAGGCTTTTTTAAAAAGAGATGAGAAACAAGTCTCTGCCTGAGTTTATACAGGAGAAGTCCCCTGTCTCCAAGTGCGTCTCAGTGATTCTCTAAGTGCTACATCCCTGCAGAGGCAGAACCCCCAGTTACTTCTGTGATTCTGTCAGACTTGCTTGTGTGAAATTCTCTTACCTTTGGTATCCTGCCCAAATATTTTTTCCCCTTAAAAACAGTACTCAGCAGGGATGCTATTCATCATCTGTGAGGGTGTGATTGTGACATCTTAGCTCAGAGCACATTGTGATCAGTTCCACAGATTTCACAGTGAGCTGGATAAGCAGAGTTTACTTCAGTTTAGTTCTTTGAATATGAGAAAAGAATTATAATGCAGAAATAATTTAATTTGTTACAAAATCTGGTGTAATAATTCTCTAAAAATGTCCTGACATAAACAGGAAAAAAATTACTTGTGTTTGAGAAGTGGTTTACACTTAAAATTTCGTATTAATTATGCATCAACCATCAGCAATTCGTGAGGTATTTGCTTCAAGAGAGTTTATCAAAACTGAACATAAACAGCCTGATTGTTAATAATAATATAGCTCCAAAACATACATAATAAATAGTGAATGAATAAAATAAGAATAAAATTAATAAATGAATAAAAATAATAAAGCCTCATAAATAGCTTATTGTGAAGAGGTTTTGTGAATAAAAATGCTTAGAGCGGATTTTGTTCAGACAGTCATTGAAGCTGGTGTGCTGCTTTATGGATTCCTTTTGAATTGTCTTAAAATTTGCAAGGATGTGTAAAACGAGTGGCAGGATTGCTTGCTAATGAGGAAGTAATAACAAAAGAGTGGAAACTGTAGTAAAAAAGAATATATCGGGAATATGTTTAAACAGAAAAGTATGTAGCCATCACAAAATAAAGTTACGTTTGATCAATTCTTCTGATTCTATAAACATGGTGCTGCTTCTCTCATTTGATGGGGGCATGGGAGTCCCTTCTTTGTGGTAGAGTGTTACCTTGTTTTCCTTCCTTCCTGTGATGGATATAATCAGTCTTAGATATGCGAGTTCTCTTGTCAAAGTTGTTATTATTGATACTACATACAGTCTCCAGGTGAAATTAGAGTCTCTTTGCAGTAATCTCTATGCAAAAAAAATAAAATAGTAATGACAGTCTTGAAAAAAAACTAACCATAACCGAGGCACAGAATAAGAGCTGAGCTTCCAAACCCATAGAAACGCTGTGTTAGTGAAAGGACATGAGTCCCTACGTTCTGGTGTCAAGTCAGCACCTGAGACCATTTTTTTGCTTGGATCATGCTTGTCAAAGTTGTTCTTTGCTACAGATTTGCTTCCATTAGTCCACAACTAGGTTCATAAAGTATATCAGGCTAAGAAAGGGCCCACACACTGACAAGTGATGCTAGCACATTGCTCGGATGGTTTTGGCCTGGGTCGGCTACCACTGCTACAGTGCTTGGGCATGATTTGGGGTCTAGCCTGTTTTTTTTATTCCTGCTTGACAGTTTGGATACACTCGTGCTTGTTTGGGAGGAAGCTGTAGGGAAGTTTAGCTGTATTGTCACTTTAGCTGAAAGGAGGCTGAGTAGCGGAGAGCCACTTGGCATCATGTCCTGAGAACAGTCCTTGACGATTTCATTTACTAGTGTAAAAACTAGGCAAAGGGTCTCTGGCTTGGTGTGGAGATAGATGCGATGGCAAATGAGGCACAGAA